TGAAGTAACCTCAGGTTTGTTATTGTCTCCATCTTTAGTATTGAAGTTGTTTAACTTTGCATCAAATAATATCTATAAATGAAATGTTCTCCTGTCGTATATCACACCTGTGCAGAATGACTCGGTCCTCGTAGACATGACATCCAGGTCTTATCGGGTCCTGCTGAGAGGAGATCAGAGCCGTTTGTATGAATAATCACAAATGTCACATGTTGAATGTCCTCTTAAAAACAAATTTTCTGAATTCAACTCATGAAAGGACAAAGTTTAACAGGCAGAGAGGAGATTTTTTAATGGCTCTACAAAGACAAAGACTACACACACGTACTGCACACATCTCTACAGGTCGCCCACATGAAGACATTTAGCCAGAGGTCACAGATCAAGTTAACCGACTGCATAGGAAGTCATCATCACTGCTCCTTACAAGGTTGTTCTGCCTCCCACTTACGAGGTTTTCACACCTGTGTTCATTGCAGATTTGAGCTATATTATATTCCTCTTGTTTATATATTCTCAGAGGACTATCCAGGGTTTGTAGGAGATATTTTAAACTCTTTGCAAACTTAAAAAATATGTGATTTTATAGCCAGAGAAACTGTGCCTACTGGAGGAAGTAAAGTGAATTACACCTCAAAACTCAGTGAATCAGCACGTTGCCTTTCTCATGTCACATCTGAACATATCAAGATTATAACCGTTTCTTTATTAAATACCCTTAAACATTGCACTATATATCCAGTGTATTCTCCATATGTATGTGTGTGTAGATATTTGATTGTATTTGTATTTTCTTTTGCTCGTCAAATCTTAGGTCCAGGCCTCCTCGTGGTCATCAGGTTCATCTCTCTGTCTGTGTCTGTGTGTTGTTTGTCCTCCTGTTTTTGTCTCTCCTGTTATTTTAATTTCTTGGTTTTGTTTTGTCTGTATTGTGTGTCTAGGACCCCCTCAGAAACAAGATGGTTCATCCCAAGCTGTTCATCCTAATAAACAAATCTGTATCAATAAGTTCTGATTTGGTTTTGACTCTTTCATTTTTATTTGATTTTAATGTTTTTAGTTTTTGAAAATGCTTTGTTTTAGTTCAGTTTTATTTGATTTGTGTTGTCTCTGAATTGTTAATGGTTCAGGAAAAGATATCACTGAGTGTGTATCTTTAAAAACATGGAGGCTGCAGTCCTCAAAGCAGGCGGCCCAGGTTCAAATCCAGCCTGTGGCTCCTTTCCCGCATGTCATTCCCCACACTCTCTCTCCCTGATTTCCACCTCTATCCACTGTCCTGTCTCTCCATTAAAGGCTCAAAAGCCCAAAAATAAATCTTTTAAAAAAAAAATATATATATATATTTTATAAGAAATGGAAAAAAAGCGTTAAACTTCTGCAGTCAGAGAGCTCATCCATACAAACAAACCAATAGGATAGGTTTTGTGCAGATGTGGAAAGAGTACTGAAATATTCTACTCAAGTAAAAGTACTATAACTTTGATGAAACTTTACTTAAGTACAAGTAAAACAACCAGTTTAAAAATGTACTCAAGTAAAGGTAAAATGTAGCTCCTTTAAAATTTACTTGAAGTAAAATTACTTAGTTTTTTTTTGGGATTGAGTTTTTTTCCCCACTAAAGTCAAATCTTTAAAAATTAAAGTGCATTAACAAAATAAAACACGTCGACACAAAACATTGAGACATGATATTTAAAACACTAAGGGAGGTTGAATGTGTCATTTCAGTCGAGACCACCCCATAAAACATTTTCAAATAATACAACCACTGAAGGTGGATTCTTTTCTTCATCAACAAACACCAACATCAGTCATACTCCAGATTTGGAAATCCAAACAGGTCAAGGTCATACATGTTGTAACTTTCCCTAAATGACCCAAACAAGACCAAAATCTGAGAATCATGGACATTCAAGATGCTTTAAGACAAAACTGCATCAACTCTTGTTATTGTAATTCTTCTTCTGTGGTGTTTATTGGAGGTTGACATTGCAGTTGTTTTTTCTTTTGTTATTACCTTAGGGACTCTGTGATTTAAAATATTACTTACATACTAAAATAAAACCTACTTCAGTAAAAGTTAAATTACAGATAAAAAAAAAAACTACAAGTTTCACTATTTTCCACCTCTGGTTATGTGTCACTCAGTATGTTTGTGTCGGGGGGGGGGGGCATGTTCAAATCCGACCTGTGGCTCCCTTCCTGCATGTCTGTCCCCACTCTCTCTCTCTCTCTCCTGACTCGATCCACTGTCCTGTCTCTACGGTAAAGGAATAAAAACTCCCAAAATAAACCTTTGAAAAAAGACAAAAAATAAGGAAAATATGTCTTTACTTTGATCTGAGTTTCAGTTAGTTATGTATCTGATAAAGCCTAGTTTCTTATTTGAGTTTCACTAAACAAAAATGTATTTACATTTCAGCTTTTCTTATTTTGTAAGTATTGGTTCATGATAATAACCTGGGTACACATGCACAAAGATAGAACACATACAGGTAAAAAAGAGCAACCTGCATCCGTCTGATCACATCCAATCAGGTTAAAGAGCCGTCATGTGCCCAGATGTCTCAGGCTTCTGGAGACATGGTGCTCAGGACTTTGCGGCATTGAAGTATGAAGAGGTAGAGGACGGATGAGAGTACAACCTAGAGGCATCATTTGGCACTCAGCTGCATCTGGAAAATATGTTGTGACCGGTCGATCAGCGTCTCCGTTCTCTCCCTCCACCTCTGCGGACGTTTGGATTTAGAGGCCTCAGCTGTTTGCAGGATCTGAGGGAAATTATTAAAAATACATTTCAGGTAAACCAACCACAGGCCTCCACTTAAACAGCTGAACACCTGTTTCATACCCCCCCCCCCCCCTTTAGCCTCTCAAACTTAGAGACAAGTGGAGGTGCATTTTATGTGGGACATAAAAATTCATCATCGATGACAAGAAGCTTTGTACTTTGTGTTAATTCACAAAGCCTGAGGTGAGATCTTGTAAAAAAGGATAATTTTCTTCATATTAAATATATATTATCTAAATAATCAGGTTCAGTTTGAAGACTAAAACTCAAAGGCTTAGCAAGTGTCAGCATCAACAAAAAAACAAATGCATTACGTCCTCTCCCTAAGCCAGGCTGACCTCTGACCCCCGGGGCCGAGGAAGACACACGTTAGGCGATAAGTGAAGCACAGGCTCTATTGTGCCCGTCCATTTATTGACTTCCTAAATGATCCATTATGAAGTGATTTACGAGGTCCTCCCCACCTCGCACTTCTGAAGGCCGGGGGGGGGGTTGCCGTCCGCTCGGCTCGGCACACATCTGCACCGATGGGAGCTGGCGGCGTTTGATTTATCAGAGGACGGACGGAAGCTGCAGGCCCACGCCGCCTCCCGTGTTTGTTCAAAGTCAACAGCGGAGTTCGGAAGCTGTTTGTGAATGCAGTGGGGTCAGGGACAAAAGGGATGGAGGGTGCTCTGCGGGGAACAAGTGAAACAAATCAAAGGCACAGACTAAAAATATTATTTAAAAAAATAGTATTCCATGTTTCTTTAAATGATGACACATGATTTATGAAAGTTTGAAGAACAAGACTCAATAACATAAAAAAGGAAAACAAGAAAAACAACCAACCCAGCAGTGACACACTTTTTTGTTTCCACCACACGGAAGCTTGTCGTGCAAATGACCTCGTCTTTCCTCTGCTCACTAATGACTGGTGGCGGCCGTGTGAGTCTGGCTCTTTGATTTCTCAGGCCTTTCCTGTACAGCGTGATGAGCGCCTCCATTCGGGGTCATCCCAGGAGACACAGTTTTTTTATGAAGCAGAACATGGAGCGTTTGAAGCCTTTGGCCCCCCCTCTGCACCGTGCTCCTGGAACAAACGGGCTGCCATGCTGCTCGCTGCCTCACACAGATATTAATAGAGACAGTGGAGAGCTCTGGAACACCTCTGGATTCTCTCTGGGACGCTCACAAACAAGATCCCGTCTGTATTTGGGATGCATGTGAGGGAAATGTAGACGGTAACAATCATCTGACCAAGGACATGAAAACATTTTATTTCAGATTTTGGGGCGGCTGTGGCTCACTTGGTAGTCTGTCCTCTCTGGAAGGTCGGGGGTTCAATACCCAACTCCTGCAGCAACATCTCCAATGTGTCCTTGGGCAAAACGCCTAACCCCAAGATGCTCCCACTGCGTCGTCAGCAGTGTATGAATGGATGAGTTAATACTGATGGTCTCTTTACTCAGCAGCCTCTACCATCAGTGTGTGAATGTGTATGAATGGATGAGTTAATACTGATGGACTCTTTACTCAGCAGCCTCTACCATCAGTGTGTGAATGTGTATGAATGGATGAGTTAATACTGATGGTCTCTTTACTCAGCAGCCTCTACCATCAGTGTGTGAGTGTGTAGGTGTGACCTGAGGTGTAAAAGCGCTTTGAGTAGTCAGAAGAATAGAAAATAAAGTCCCTTTACCATTTTCTTATTTTAAATAATGCTTATTCATTAATAAAGAGGTAAGACTAAGAGAAACAATGCTGCTGATGAAGGTGAGCATCTACCGCTCAGCACCTCCACTAAACCAACATCTCTCTCTCTCTCTCTCTCTGCTCTTTATTCCCCCGCTGTGATTGACCTTGTTTGACAAATACAGCTCACAGATCAGCGTGTGTGTGTTGAGCTTAGAGCCGCTAAAATAACAACACAAGATTACATAGTTGCTCAGGTGCCTCGTATATGCCTCAAATTCAAATGCACTGGAGCAAATCTCCTATGGGACGAGTCAACACAATCACATCGCTGCATGGAGCGATCACAAAAGACCTCGGCAAACAGCTGGCTGAAAAGGTCAACACAGGCCTCATTAACTAGTGGTATGGCTTCACATCACAGCCCGATCAGCTACTCTAGACCAGTTAGGGTCGAGTTAGAGTTAGTTTCTAGACTGGTCGAGCTTCAGGACCCGCCAAGACCTCCTGAATAATAAAATCAAGACCCTAATCTTCTTGAAACGTTCTCAACCGCTCAGATTTATTTCATGTAAAATCAAACAGTTTGATCCTCAGATGGAAGAACATGTGACATAAAACAAACATTTTTAATAAGCACATCATAGACCTTTCCCCCCCAAAAAAATGTTCCCAGGCACACATTGGGGACCCACTGGAAATGGCTTTGTGACCCACTTTTTGGTCCCGACCCCCCAGTTGAGAAACACTGCTCTCGACGACCAGTCAGATGATTTTTTTGGACATGTTGGATATTTTGGTCGTATGACTGCACACACATATTCCCAGACTTTTTTTCACTTATTGTCCCTGTATGTAATGACAGATAGCGTTAACAATCACCGTGGCAACAGCGGGCATGTTCTGTTGAATCTGTCTCCCTCCTCTGATGAAAGAAACGTCGGCAGGAAATATCTGCGGACCTCAAGTTGACAGGGAAGTTAGTTATGATTAAGCTGCAAGTTAGCTTGTGTTTATCAGTGATGTGGAGTGAGTGACAGAGAGAGAGAGAGAGAGAGCGAGAGAGAGTGTTTTTGACGCTGTGTATTTGTATTTGTAATTTTCTTATGCTTTAAGATTACTGAGGTGGAAACTTCAAATAAGCTCTCAGAGGAATATCTGTGACTCAGTTGGTAGAGTCCGGCATCTCGGTCTAGGTCTAGGGGTTTGATCCCCAGCTCCTGCAGCCACATGAAGACCATTCCTCGGGCAAGAAACTTAACCATTGATGGCGTGTGAATATGTAGGTGTGTTTCTGTTTCTTCCTTTGTTATTTTTAATTAAACTTGTGTGGGATAAACTTGAATGTCAGGAACCTTCGGCTATAGTCTTGATTTAGTTTTAAAATCTCATCAGCAGTCAGTTCTCACAATGTCTGTAGATCCACGTCAGGAAACTTGAGCTCCCTCTCTGAGCTAACTGTACAGTATTTTAGGAACATAAACAAAATGACAGTACTGTGAATGTCTTTCACTTGAGAGCAGAGTAAACACAGTCCACATGTGCAGATATTAAACTGTTGCTTTGCACTAATACTAAATCGTTGGTCAGCTTAGACCAACATTGGAACAGACGAGGGTTCAGGAAGTATTGATTAAGAGTTTCTAAACCCTCGCGGCGCTCTGAGGCTCAGCCAGTGTCGGCTCCCTCGTTGTAGATGGACCACAGGCTGACCCGCTGGTCCTTGGATCCGGCCGCCAGCAGTCTTTGCCTGGGGTCCTGGTGGTCAGAGAAGGCCACACTTAGCACCATGTCAGTGTGGTACTGAAGCACGGCCAGCGGTTTCAGCTTCTTCCACCCGAACACCCGCACGCGATGGTCCCAGCCTGCTGACGCCAGGAGTTTCCCATCCCCCCTGATACAGAGCTGGGAAACCCCGGCGTTCACCAGCGTCACATCATCCTGGAGCTGTGAAAACACAAAGAGGAAGAGGATCTGAGCCATTTATCACCTCAACATGTATCACAAGAGGCTGTGGTGACTGTCAGAGGAATTTATAACCCAGTGAGCGTGTTGTGCATGCAAATAAGGAGACAAAAATAACCGAGACAAAACAATGAGGTCAATTAGTCGATGAATCAAAGCTGTCCAGGAACGTGAATCCAAAACAAACACAGACCGTCAGACGATCAGCTGATCTGATGACTGAGGTGTAAGCTGGATGTCTGTTGAACCTGGCTGGAGACTCCTGGGACTCAATCATCGGCCATAAAAAACATTACGGCACGCGGGCTGCTAGCACATCTCTCTGCATCCCACTATTTGGTTTGGAGTTAGGGGAGGGGGGCTATTCTGCAAGCCCCACTGACTTGAGTTACCTTTGTCACAGTTTGCGAGACCATCCCGCTGAAATACGTGTTTGCAGAGGCCTTGTTGCTTTAAGCGCCTTCTGATGAATTACACTCAAGACTGAAAGGTCCGGTCAGCGGGAGAAGAGACCCCGATAAATACGCTGTTGTAGCGTCTGCCTGCTAAAGATTAGCCACAGCTTCCTCTGCCTGTGATCTACAGTGTCCCAAGGACGGTATCAATCTCTCTAAAGGGGCAACATTCTGACATATTATAATGAATGGCCGCTCAGATCGCTATCTAAGGGGGGGGCCTGCCGAGGGCATTCCTGGGGAGCGAACGTGCTCTTCCATGCGGGGTAGGGATCTCTTCAGGACGGGATAAAAACATCTGGATATAGGGGCAGAAATCAAACTGGACGGCGGAAAATTGACTTCATAAGTCTTGTCCAGAGAGAGTAATGGTCTTGGACGGGAGGAGAGAATTTATCTGCATGCTCCTGTTCCAGGACAGGAACAGTCCACAGGCTGCATGTGGAAGATATAAGCCAGGTACTCCCCAGGCCAAGGGCCGAGTGGAGGAAGTGGAATGTACGGCAGAGAGGGGAGCGGGGAGGAATGTCCCCCCGATCAAAACAGAGAGACGAAGCTGTGGTCAGAAACACGTAGCAAACGCAGTGATGTCATTATTTCTGCATCAAACCTTCATCGCTGATGGTGTGACGCCGTTTAGACCAAACAAGTCGATACGATGAAAACGCTGGGGGTGAAAAGCTTGTTTGGAGCTGTTGTTATTACCTCAAGAAGTTGGTATGCCCCCCTTCCTCGCCACATCTGGTGTGCATTAGCAGCCTGATAATGATGGGTTTAAGTGTCTGTTTTTGTTTGTTTTGCTTCCCATAGTGTGTGTCAGGAAAAGGTATTTGTTTCATTAAAGGGTCAATTGTGAGCAGTAAGCGGCTAATGATGAAGTAATGGTCATTCAACCCCCGGCCTGGCCCGACTAATTGTTTTTACTTTGTGCAGAGAAAGTGCTCGTCCTGCTCCATGACGTGAATGAATGGTGAATCTAACGTTAAGCACTGCTGCTTCCTGAGTAAACAGAGATGTCTGCCATGGTTCTTTAGGATAGTGACGCTGAGAATAAAGGCTTATTAACTCATCACAATGAAAAGTATGAGTTACTGCAAACTATTTTAGTGATTCATGTTTAAGACAAATTAAATTCAAATAACTTTATTTATCCGTTAGCAACTCCAGCTGTGTAAAAAAAACAAATAATGACGGATTAGCAGTAAAAACACCATCACCAATTCCAGGAAATAACATAATGCTAGCTCTGCTGCATTAATGTTTGATATGAATACTAATGTTTGATTGTACACTGAATGTTTTTGGAGTTTGGATTATGATCAACTAGAATAGAAAAATAATTTGTCTTAACACAAAAAAACGAGAGACAACTGGCTCTGCACTATATGAATGTGAACCAATTTGCACATTGTAGTTGTTGTTTTCTCTTTACTTATTAACTTATTGTTTTTTTTAATCATGTAATATTTATTATGACGTGTGCTGCTGCCCTCTTGGTGAAAGAGATCTTGATCTCAATGGGTTCATTACCTGGTTCAATAAAAAATATAAAAACTTCTACAGTTCATTAATATTCTAAAAAATCAATTTGTCATTGATTCAAATCTAAAAACAAGTTCTTCATCAGTCAGTGTTTGTACTGTATCTTGTGTGTTTTGATTGTGAAAAAAAATATTTTTTTTGGAAAAGTACTTAAATATCAGAGTTAAAACGATGTGATTATTATTGAGTTGACAAATGAAAAATAAAGATGAACAAGTTCAATAACTGATAAATAATTAGAGTCATGTCAGGTCGTTTTACAGAAGTCATAGTTTTTGATCTTATTCAGACTGCCGTTCCATATTTACACCCTGTGATGTTTCACCTTCAATCTGAATGTTGCAGAGGTGTAACAGGGGGACAAAGTGACCCCCCCTCTGTACTGTGTTTGGAGGTAGTAACAGAGGCGGCAGAGCCAGCAAAGGGGAGCGCAGCACTGTGTGTGTGTGCACGTCTGACTGTGTGTGTATGTGAAGCTCCAGCTGTGACACAACGCTGAAACGTCATGTTGACTGACAAACTGAGACATTAATATTACACCGTTGCTGAATCAATATGAATGTTCACAGACGTGATGACCTCTTAGCTTAGTTAGGACGCTTTTGTGGCTACACAGTCTGCTGTTCCACAGTTTTCAGTGTTTGTGCTAAGCTAAGCTGAATGTCTACTTTGTTCTATTGTTTTTAGACAGGAATATATTATTTACAGCTTTAAAATGTAATTTTCTAAATGTGTGTTCAGTGATAGTAAAATGATTTATTAGGATTTGAGACTCTTGGTGAGAGTAAACCATGAAAAGGGGAAATCATAATGATTCCATATCCAATAATAAGCAGACCAATGAATAATAGAGACCAGCCTGTGAAGTCTTTGTTCTTACAATAAAAAAAGGAAATCTTAACTTTGTGTTCTCAGCAGCTGGATTGTTGTTCTTGCTTCAGAGCCACACAAAACGGAAAAAAACTCTGCCGGCTCCTGACGCGGCCATTAAGCAGATCTCTCCATCTGTAGTGAGATCCATTAGCTCTAACAGGGGGAGTCATGGCCTCTTTCAGCTGACACCCCATTCATCTTACTCTCCTACTTCCTTACTATCTGATCACAGAAAGAATTCATCTTTAGGATCATCGTTTCTTTTGTCTGAAAACATCTCACCCTGCCTGTGTTTCAGCCTGTGTACACACACACACACACACACACACACACACACACACACACACACACACACACACAGACACACACACAGCAGGCCTCTCTCTCTCTCTGGGCTGTCAGGGGGCGATCGGCTCTGCTCAGCCAACACAAACTCACACTTCAGGATCCTTCTTTGTATCATCTCACCTACAAGAGGAGCATCACCTTGGCAGATCTCACTCGAGCCTCGCTCCCCTTTCCTCCCCTCTTGGCACAGATGTCGGCGTTCACGCTCGCCTACTGAAACTTCCCATCATCGCTCACTCACTCGGGGGCGAGCGGCTGGGAGGCTTCTTTTTTTTTTCGCAGGTATTTTTGACACACCCTGTCCCTGAATCACACTCAGCCGCGGGGGAGATTACAGCCTTTTGTCACCTCGCTGCGGCTGACAGGAGATGGATGTGTCAAACAGGTGAGCAATCCCATTCAGAAAAAAGTGAGAAGAAGAAGAGGAGGAGGGGGGTGGAGCGGGGGCTGCTAAGAAAAGAGAGCTAGGATTTTTTATGACGGAAAAGCTCATCAGCCACAAAGCAGACAGGAGCAGTCCTGACCCATAGGTCGGGTCAGAACAGCGTGCACACAGGTGACGGTGGGGGGGGGGGTTCCACCTGTAGACACCTGTCAGCAGCCTCAGGAATAGCTTGCTGTCAGCCATGCTTGATTTACACTTCTAATCTTTCCTCCGTCTATAGGTGTTTACTCTTTCTCCAATCTTTGTCCTGGATGAACCTGTCACTGCACTTGTCAAAAGGTCTGAGCGTCCCGTCTTAGATATATGTCCGTCTGGCTTAACAGCTTGTAAACCCCCAACACCCACGCCCTCACCCGGACACATTCCTGAAAATGTGCGCTCAAAGGAAAGGAAGAGGGGGGGGGGGGGGGGGGGAGAGAGAGAGACAGGCCGCAGATGATGCTTCATTACTATGAAAATGTATCAGGGGCAGCCAGGTCAAACAGCAGATAAAGTCCTCATGTGTAAGACATTAACCTCCATTCCTCCTCTGTCTTTATCTGGATACCTTGATAAGCTCACTTCACAGCCCTTCAGCTTCACTAAATCATAACTGCGCTGTGTTGTGTCACATTCAGTTTCCCCTCTATCTTCGCTGCCAGCCGGTTCCCTCCGACGCTGCAGTGTACCGCTCTGTGGGCAGCGGGATGCCGAGGGCACTTAACAGCCTTTATTTCAGCCTCCCACTGTGAACTACTGTTCCCTTTACTGCAGATGTGTTTTTTGTTTAGTTAAGGGGCCTCAAAGGTTTTTGATATTTTTATTACCTCTCACGGGGTCGTCCGTCAGGACCCGGGGCTGCCGGGGTCTGCCACCCGGGCAGGTCCTCCCGCCTCCTCACTGCTGCTGCCACACAAAAATACTTTTGTGGGAAAAGAACTGAGGATAGCTGTCTGGACGTCACACTGAGCTGCACTCCGGGATAATTTAAAAGCCCCTGTTGGATCCTTTCCCTCTCTCCCTGTGCTTTTTTCCCTGTCTTCCTCATCCTGGATTACATGCTGAATCAATATTGTGTCGCGTCGAGAAAAATAAACCAAATATTCACTCGTTCCTGTTTTGACGCATTTTTTAAGGGAGAAAAAAAAACGGCTTTTGCTAATATTTCTAATTCAAGCATTCATTTGTAAAAGAGCCCTGGAAAGAATAATACCCCTCCAACGAGCCAGCAGTGTGCTGTATCAGCCTCACGTTCCTTTCTGCTCCGGTTCACCGGGGGTGCTCGCTGCATGTATGGGAGCTTTTCCCTTTCGCTCATGAAACCTGGAGAAAATAGAGCTTTAAATGAGGCGCTAAGTCTCCGATGCTTTGGCTGTTATGTTAAATGAATTATGCTGGGGTGGGGGTGGGGGAGGGGATTGTCCGACCCATTTGGATTAGGTAAGACCAGAAGGTGAGTCTGTGTCTGACGGGAAGCTAAGACTGTAGTCGGGGACTTTGGGGTGATATATAGAAGGTGCATTTATGTGATTGTTTGATTTTTACATGTCTTCCTGTAACTAATGTATCTTTTGATGCCTTATGCGAAGCCCTTTGAATGACCTCGTTGCTGAAATGTGCTGCAGAGCTGCTGATCTCTCTCTTTGGTGGCAGGAGATGCCCTGATGTCACTTTTAATGCAGAGTTTGCATCAACTACGACATCTAAGTTTCTCTGTTTTCATGGGTTGTTGCGTCTCATTAGTGTCCTGATCGTAGGAGCAGTTATATTTGTAGTTTTCTAAACTTCTAAAACGGTATTCAATCATCCTGCTCTTTTCTAGTACACAGTCAAACGAGAAATGACATCCCAGTGGATTGTCTTAAGGCAGGACTATACACAGTGTGTTGTCCAGAGCTAACGTGTGACTCTGAGTCAGTGTTTGTCTGTGGGTGGCTTTAAGTCTGGAGTGACAGCTCTGGTTCGGCCCTTGGCCCCTGGTCCTGCCAACGCTGTGTAACCAGCAGCTGATTTATGGCCCCTGGAGCCCTGCTGAGCCTCTTCCTCTTTGGCCCCTGATGTTTTCTGAGAGAGTCTGGAGAAAGGCATTACTTCTCTCCTTACATCTCCACCACTACCTTTTCATTACTCTCTCTCTCTCTCTCTGCAACAATGAGTAAACAAAAAGAGATTCAGGACCTCGACCAGGCGCTAGACCACTTGGCCACTAGGCCACAGATGTGCCACGGACGCCCCACTTAGGAACTTATAATAAAGTGTATATATAAACTGTTAACAAGTTTCTAATAGAGAAACAGTTCTGATCCGATTCCGATACATTTGTAGCGATACTGATTCTGATATTTGTATTATCATAATTAACAGTGTTATTGTTGTTGTTGGTTTCATGTGTGAGGATACAAAACGCTGTACTAAAACTGACATTGCATTGTGCTGGCTTCACATAAAAAACAGGAAGCAGCAACAGCTGTCAGGTTTTTCAAAATAAATCTTTTAAACTGAAGAAGGAGCTGTTCCATCTCGTCTGAACGTCGTCATGGAGACGATTTGTGGACACTTCTTACAGTTCGGTCTGAACGTCTTCAAAGTGAGACTGTGCGAGCTGAGAATGTTTTATCAGACTGAGAAGTCTGGAAACTACTGAACCACACAAACACCCCTGCCCCCCTCTGAGAGTCTGCATGTGCTCTGCTGACCTGCAGGTTGTTCTGTCTGTCCAGCATCCAGGAGGAGAGGGTCTTCTCAGAGGAGCCTGATATGCCCCTCAGACGCTCGGGGTCAAAGGTCAGGCACATGACAGGCTCAGGGTGGGCTTTGGCTCGGCTCAACTCGGACCTCTGGGTAACATCCCACAGCAACAGGGACCCATCCTCGTATCCAGCCAGCAGGAGAGGTCCGGGCCCGGAGTCTGGCTGGAAGTGAGGGGGGGGAGACGATAAGAGAGAGAGAGGAGGAGGTTAGAGGAGAGCTGTGTAGTTTAAAACCCACAGAAGAAAACCGCTGCATGCTGCTGGAAGCCGAGCGGAGCAGAGGTTATCATCCTGGAAGCTCCTGCTGACACTCGGAGAGACGCTGTGGGCTCCACTCGTCAGCCTGCTGCTCTCTCTCTCTCTCTCTTTACAGCCCGCCAATACACCACTCCTCACTTTACTCCTCATCTGTATCACTGAGCATGCACAGAGCTCGCTGCAGGCACTCTGACCGAACATGAAGGAACCTGCTGCTCATCTCACCGCCTGAAACCTTTAAAATGTTTTTTAAAAAATCACAATAATTATAACATGCATCATGTAAGGTTTATTTAGCTATGTTTTAAAGCGTAGTAAGCTCATTTATATTTATTAGACTTTGATTTTTAATAACCACATCTATCACCTTTTACAGTTTTTCTCATTGTCTATTTACAATGTCTATTACATTGTCGATAGAGCAGGAACCCAAAGAGAGAGAGGGGGAGGGAGGGAGAGAGAGAGAGAGAGAGAGAGAGTGAGTGGGGAACGACATGCGGGAAAGGAGCCACAGAGCAGACTAGAACTTGTGAGGCCCACTTGGAGGTCTTTACCTCTGTACATGGGGCGCGATCTTGCAGCTAGGCCACCTGCGTCCCTACTATTTTATATTTAAAAAAAATGATATTTTCATTTATCAGTCTAGTTTAGTTATAACAGCCGTTAAAAGGTGGCGCTGATTTAGCTCTGTAGGTACAGCAGGCGACTCATAAACAGAGACTACAGTCCTTGTCACACTGACCCTCTGTGGTGTGTATCATCCCCCACTCTCTCTCTCCAGATAGTCCCGTCACTCTAAAGCTTTCTATCCAGATTAAGGGAGAAGCCAACAAATATATATATTTTTTTAAACATAAGGGGCAACAGATAGCCTAGCAGTTAAGTTGCATGCCGCATGTACGGAGGCTACGGTGCTCGTCGCAGTGACTGTGTCTTCGAGTCCAGCCTCGACCCTTTGCTGCATGTCGTCCCTCACGGTCTCCTCCCAGCGTTTCCTTTCTCTCTTCAGCTTTACTATCTGAAAGTGTAAAGCTATTGGGAAAATGTCCCAAAAATATCTTTAGAAAAACAAAACACATTAAATATATGTTATGGAAAGGCTGACTTTTTCCCTCAAAGTCCAAAAGGAAAGATTTTACAGAATACGGACCAAATGGACTGAAAAGTCAAACCTTTAAGAGCAGATTTGATTTGACTTATTAGAGTTCATGGGTGATATTTCCATATTTTTGTGATTGTCTTTTACCCGCTAACCTGCTCTGTATTACATTTTCTTTCTTTACCCCTCCTAGATGAAGGCTTCCTGTGTTCTTTTGTAAATAGTTTCATGTCATGTTACTTGAAATATTTAGAAGAGCTAAATTGTTAAAGAGACTGCAAGCCTCATATCCTCCTCTTTCTGCTAAAAACAAATGTTTCAATGTTTGAAAAGTTTAGGGAAGAGTCTTGCTTTATGTGAAATTATTAATGTGAAGAGAATGCTTTTCATACAAATATAAAGTAATAATCATAATTTCTCCGTCTTCTTCCCCAAAATGCAGTTAGAATTACAGAAAGGATAATTGTTCACATTAAAGAACATAACACGAGCAATCTGAATTATTCGGTTATTATTGCATAATAATCTTCAAGTCAAAAAAAGTAATCAGCTAACTGTTTCAGCTCTCACACCTGATGGACGCTCACATAGTTAAACTGAAACACACCACACGTTATCTTTCTCTGCCTTTCTATCAAGCGATGTCACAGATTCAGTCTCCATGTTTATAAAAAGATCATCAGAGGAAATCTTCCAAATCAAAACAAATCAAACCCGGTGCACAAACCAAAAACACAAACAGTTTGTCTGTAAAACACATCGACCACCCCGTATCAAGCACAATCTCTTTCAACATAAATACGTTTTCACAGGCTTACAACTGATACAGATGATGGATTCTCTTTTTTCCTTGTTCAGAGAACATGAGTTATTAATTTCTGTCAGGACCTAAAGACAATTTAAAACCAAAATCTGAAAAAATGAATCTGGAGAAAATAAACAGCCCTGCCTTTGACATTGAATATGTGTTGTGTTTTTTTAGGGGTGTAAAATATCGGCAAAACCCCCAAAAATATTGAGATTATTTTATTTTTCAAGAATATGGAGGGAAAGCAGCAAAACACTAAAAACATTGAGATGAACTTTAACATCTGTCCCAAAATAAAAAATAATGCCAGTATGCAGACCAGTGTGAGAAAAAAGGTTCAAGATGAATATTCTTTCAGGTGAAAATTAAAACTTTTAAATTCTTTCCAGTCGTTGTGCACAAGTTTTGTTTGAAATAATAAAAGGCCCGTCTCCTAAAGACGCCGGTCCAAAATGAAGGCATGTCATTTCATAGAGACTGAAGTAAACAAAGTGATTTTCTCCTTCACATCCACATGTGCCATTTTAAACATTTCCACTGGAAGAAGACTTCAGGAGAGCTGTGTGCACACTCAGCGCTGACTGGTTTCTTTAAAATACCAGCAGGCAGTCAGCGAGAGCTCGATGCCCCTTCAGAAAAGAAGGAGGGAAATAAATGTTTTCCATATGTTGCAAGAGGGGCCTCGTCTGTGACTTCTTCCATCCATCTTCAAGTCGTCTTCTCACTTAGCGCTCCATGTTTCTCTTCTCCCAGGTTTAAACAAATTATAGACAGAGCCGTGTATTCCTTCCAAACATATCAGCCCGGACGAACACCGCGGGATTATGAAAACAAATAAAAACAAGTGAAAATCAGTGGCCTCTGCTCGCCGGCAGGGGCCCGGCAAAGTGTTCCAGGCTATGAGGCCCACCGCTTCACTTGAGTGGAGGACCTCCTTGATTGATGATGTCATGGGTCAGAGGTCGGGGAACCCTGGGTAGACACCTAATTCATTATATCCTCCACAGGCCTTTCTACAAGAGGGCTCTCTGCTGGAGTGGGGCTGGGGCCCGGGGAGCAGATTCATCACCAGGAGAACAGCTGGAGAGACAGATGGATGGGAGCTGGTGGAGGACCACAGCAAGCTTCATCGTCTTTGAGATGGCAACGAGTTTGGCCTCAACCTGTTCATCGTTATGTGAGCCTCCGTCTCACCAAACACTTGTTCCAGTATTACACGTCTGATAAACAACAACCTGGATCAGTTTTTTAATCATGAGGAAATGGTTTTAAAAAGTGCTCAAAGTAAAACTGTTCAGGAGGGCGAGCTAGTAAAAGGCCTGTAGAGGATCAGAAGAAGTGTGGCTGCAGCCTCTCCAAACACATCAGTTTAAGGTAATTTATTTCTCCTCACATTGTGACACTCTGAGGTGGTAGGTAATTTGGTGAATGGCTGAAGTCTTGTAGTGAGTACAGTCTATTTTGCTGGCTATAAAAGATTGTAACTGAACATGTGGGCCAACAAACATGTTTAAATTGAGTCATTTTCAATTCTTCATTAGGGACAGAATATCCACAAAAAAGTCAAAAGGTGTCTCTTTATTGTAGAGACAGGACAGGGGATAGAGTCGGACATGAGAGAAAGAGAGTGGGGAATGACATGCCGGAAAGGAGCAACAGGTTTTTTTTTCGGATTTGAACCTGGGCCCCCCGCCCCACGTACGGAGGACTACAGCCTCCGTACATGGGGCGAGCTCACTAACCACTTAGCTACCAGAAGCCCATTTTTAATCAATCAATCAGTTTTAGCAAAAGTTACAGCAGCAAGGCAGACATCTTGGGCAAATCCAGACTCATGACGAACAGCCATCGACCAAAACTGCGCCGGAAATGGGATGGGGGAGATGGGATAAGAAGCAGGAAGAGGGATAGGGAACAAGGCGGGTTGGTCGTTCAGGCAGGTCGTCTACCAACGATTCCGAGGAACTTATGATCCCAAGTATCAACTCATCCATTCATACGCCACTGGTGAAGCAGAGGGAGCAATTTGGGGTCAAGTGTCCTGCTCAAGGTCACATCGGACATGTGACCTTACGGTTGAGAGACAACCGACTCTACCAACTGAGGATTGCATGTGTTTTACAGGGTCATTATGCGTTTAAGCCTCCTTTTGAAAAATCTGTTCTTTGAATTAATCAGGCTTTCAATCATTTTCAGCTCATTTGCATATTTTAAAAGTCTCCCCGTCACATAATCTAATAAAATAAAATAAGAATTGAGTATGTTGGGGACGTCCTGGATTTAATGTTTTCTTTGCAAACACATCTCTGTCAGTTCCTCGTTTAGGCAGACGTTTAAAAAAAAAAAACAGAGGCCCTCCCGCTTGTTTGCTGATGTGGCTGCCGCAGGCTTCAGGCACGCACTGCCTCAACATCAGGAACCAATCGCTTTCCTCTCCGCTTTTTTTTTGTCCCCGGCCATGATGTCATGATGGCCACGAGGCAGAGCGAGGTGATGAGCTGAGAGTGATGGATATCTGTATAGGAACATTTCCTTTTCCTCGACCAGCCTCTGTTCACATTAAAAGACTTTCACATCATACATCACCGCCCCCCCCCCCCACCGGCCTAACCCAGCATCCTCACACACACATGTGGAGGAACTTTCTCCCTCCATGTCCGCTCCATTGTTCACTGCTTCACAGCCAATCAGATGGAGAGACTTAAGGCAGTGGCTGTGTCGCCTTCTTTCAGACAGAGTCAAGCACATGATCTGAGGGGCTGGGTGGGATTCTCAGCAGGATCGAGAAGAAAGCGCAGTTTAGCTTTTGTCTTTAATCTGTTCCATAAACTCCAGCAGAGAGAGAGGTCGGAGAGGTCCATAATAATAAATCTGTTGGTGAGTCTGATGGAGGAATAATGGAGGATAATCACTTCTCAGCTGTAGCAGTGTAAGAGAGGGAGTCATGGTGACGGAGAAGACGGAGAAGAAGAGTGTTGTCAGTGTCTCCTCCTTTTTCTTCTTCAGCAAGGTGTGTGTGTGTGACGGGGTGGAGAAAGAGGAGGATGGTGTCAGCTGTTGCCTCCTGCTGTGTGAGGTTAAAAAAACAGCAGGTACCTGATGAGCGTCTGATGTGAAAGGCAGCGTGAGCTTATTTCTTTTTCTTGTTTCCTGACGTACAGAATGTGTGGGGAGAGTTTTCAAACTGTGTGTAGAAAGAGCGTTCACACACTCACACACAGACCGGGGGCTCTGAGTCTTATTCCCCCTTGAGTCGCTCAGTCAGTGTAACAGATGAACACGCCTCAGCCTTGAAAAGAAACCGGCCTGAAATGATTTAAGAATCACCTGGGCCCTCTCGTCTTTGAAGTACGACAGCTGCCTGCGCCGCATTACAATGATATTAAATAATTTATAATGATATAATTGATCATTATGTTTCCTGGCACTCAACACTGACGCAGCGCTGCCTCATAAATCAGATGATGAAAGGTGGGTGCAACAGTGGATTCAAACAGAGGGGAAGGGAAAACACAGCGTGAGCATGCACTGAGTCTCTCTCCATGTCTCCATGATAATTACACAAGCAGCTTCATGACCATCGTAGGAAAGTCCTTCAAGTGTCTCTAGTTAGTGTAAAAGAATACAAGGCGTCCTGATGGTGTTTTCACACATGCACAAACGTCTTGAAAACATCCTGACATTTCCAGCTGCATATGTGATCACAAAGACATACATTTTTATTTTGTGAGTAAGAGGGTATTTAGGTCCTTGATACAAAGGCAAGAATCCTTGATACAAAAAAAATCCTTGATACAAAGGCAAGAAACTGTAATCTTAAGCCCCTTTGAGACTGCCCTTTTCTAGCCACAATACTGACGTCCCCTGTGATGTTTCAGCTTCAATCTAAATGTTGCAGAGGCGTAACAATGAGGCCAAGTGATCCCCCCCCGTACCGCCTTCAGAGGCAATACAGAGATGATATCAGCGGAGTCAGCAGGGGGAGCACAGCACTCTGTGTGTTTGTGCATTTCTGAATGTGTGTCTATGTGGAGTTCCCGCTGTGCTATACTTCCTCAATGCCGAAATTACATGTGAATTCACAGACTGGGACATCGATATTACACTATCTCAGAAACATAATGATTGTATAAAGATGTGATGACAGCTGAGCTTAGTTACGGCCATTTTGCAAAGTACAAAAGACTAAAAGGGCTATAGGATCAGACTCTGTTGTTTAATCTGCTATTTCTGTGTCGTTCTACTTCCTGTGACCTCCCTCCTCTCCCTCCTCTCCCTCCTCCAATCCAACAGGGAAAGTCTCCTGCTGAGAGGTGCATATGTGAACAGACAACTCAGGATGATTTCAGGGTTCAACTGGCATTCTCTAGAAACTTGTGTGAAAAAGGTATTAAGACAAGTTATCAAGTTATTTTAGTGTTACAAGATTACTAGAGCCCGACCGATTAATCAGCCGGACGATTATACCAGCTGATATTAGCATATCCAGTGACTATCGGTATTGGCTAATTTTATCGCAGATAAAAGATAATATCACTAGATCTATTCACCAGTCAAACAGCATTTCATTTAAGTTTAATTGAATTACACTATAGAGTGCTATATGGATTAAAGCAAACATCATCACCTTCCAGAGTGCTAAGCGGTACATGCAAAATTACTTTTCCAGTTGAGCAGCCATCTTGTCTGTGTTATTCTATTCCACAAGTGTTTGATAAACTGCATTTGAGGGATCAGCGTAATAAATGTGTATCTAAATTTATCTCTACAGATAAGATATCAGCCGATATATCTGTATCAGATTTTTCTCTCTCCCCATTCTCCAATATCTGTATTGGCCCCAAAAAATCCCTAGAGATTAGAGGACTGAATGCACACAAAGCACGGATCTGCCTCACTCTGGCTGTTAAATTAAAGCTTTGTTTTTCTTTCTGTTGCCACTAAACTACACAGGACATAATATCTATTCAAACTGCTCTCAGTCATGCATTAGTCTGAAACCTCACTCCCCCCCAGGAGCCCCAAACCCAAAGAGTTAATAATTAGCCATAAAAATAATTACAGGGTCTCGTTAATGGCTGGGGGAAAAAAATAAAACTTTCGACAGCATTTACAAAACAGTGAGCAATCTCTTTCTCTCTCTCGCTGGGATCAGATTGGATGTACAGCTGCAGGCTGATATATGGCTGTGAACCCCCGGCCCTTCCAAACGCTCTAATTACAGTGTCGGAACTCGCTGCCAGCTGAGAAGACGTGCTCGGAAAAAAAAGGCCCGGGACGACTTGTTGGGCTGTAAATCATGTGCCACGACTCTTGTGTGCATTTTTGTTGACTTTTCTATCATTGCGTTTTGTTAAGGGCTTCTGGCCAATCAGAGTCAAGCAGGTAAGAATTGACAAAAGAAAGGAAAGAAAAGAAGGGGGGATAATCTCCTCCGTTTGATTATAGGTGCCAAAGTGAACCGGGTGAACTCGTTATACAAAGAGATCATTTTGGGTGAAGTTATATCACGACATGTTCTGTTAACATCAGAGCGCGTTGTGGTCTGCTTACCTGCCACAGCTTGATACACATGACCATCCCCACCTTAGCGTCTGGTACCAGGGTGCAGACCGGGGTCTTACTGGGCAGCTCGATGATCTTGATCTGCAGACACACGTGACAAAAGATCTTAAAGCCATTTACTGACATGTTTACCTCCACATTCTACATCCATGCTAGCAACTATGTGGGGCAGTGCTCACAAAATGCTAACGTGCTAAAAATGTTAGCTTCTTAGTTTACCATGTTTGCATCTTATCCCATTACGTTTTTACAGCAGAATATGAGAGTCATTCACCTTTTTGAAAACTGTGAGAATCTGTTCTGCAGTGGACCGTACGGATCTCTTCTGGTTAATCATAAAGTTTAATGTCTGCTTTGGCTATCTGAAGGGGTTGGGGTAAATTCCGCAGCTACAGCTCCCTTCTGCTCGTGTCTTGGATCAAAACGACATCAATTCTGACTCGTATACACCAAGATCGTGTGTTCTTCCTCGTATGTGTAAATGAACTTGGCAATAAAAAAACCCAAAAACGATTCCTATTCTGATAGAAGTACATTCAGACGCACTGTCCTCATTTACACACAGTCTATGATCTAGATCCGCACTAGGCTGTCTATGATCTAGATCCGCACTAGGCTGGTGTTTCATTGTGGGTAATGTTCACAACAGGTTGTCAGAGAAAGGATGCATTGAGTTATAAATTATAAAGTGCAAGTTTTGAAGTTAGAGTAGTTACTCATTTTCAAAGTATTGCACACTTTTGTACTGATAAAGAAACTTGATAAAAAGTTCAGGGATCAACCAAAGTCATTGCAATTCATCCTGATGGGAACATAAACGTCTCAACCAAATGAACTGGCAATCAGTCCAATAGTTATGAGGAGAGATCCACAAACGTGTAACCTCATGGTACCTTTAGAGAGAAAGGTGAGTGAGCTTATCCAACTGAGAACCATAACATCTGCCCCAGATTTCATGGAAAATGCGTCCAGACGTTGTTACCAAAAAAGTGTTGGACAGACTTACAGACGTCTAGACCTCTTGAAGTATGCAGCCTGCTATCGATGCACTTCATGACTTTGGATGCACTTTTGGGTATTAGCTTGTTAAACGGCCAAGTAAAGCTTCAAATCAGGTAACCTGGATCATGTTCATTCACTCCGGAGGTTTTGTTTTTAGGCTCGTCCAAACTGTGGTCAGACTTTAGCCCACCCAGGCTCTGAGGTCACGACCTAAAGGCCTTAGCTGGTTGACCGCCTTCAACATAAAACCTGTTGTATTCTATTTTATCCAATAAATCCAAAGTGTTTTAGTTTTAATTCAGAGTTTCTTTCCAATCATTCGTTTTAACATCGTGACCCACATACAGCTCCATGCTGTTGTGCATTTATCTAGTTACAAGCTGTCTGCTCTGTCACGGTTTGTTTTTCCCCTCTGAATTCAAATAACAAAGCAGCAACCTGAATCTGTCATTGTGGTTCAGGACCTCCGCAGATCAGAGAACCTCCAACCGGCACTACGGTACCATCCATCAGAGCGGAGCAGCCGCCCCAACTGTCTATAATAAATCCTGCTAAAGACCGACCCCGGGACATGGAGTGGTGTTTCCTGCACACATTGGCACTGATTCTGATAGAATACACAGCCCTAATGGAGCCGGTGATAAAGTGTGCACCCGCATCACCACCAAACCTCATTCCTTCCACTTCCTCAGCGCTGATGATCTGCATATTCATCCTCATTAGGCGTCCGTTTAACAGCGCTGCGAGGGAGCGATCTGTATTTTAGCACGAGGCCACATCTGTCCTGCAGGTTTACTTCTGCAGTACCTGACAAAGAGGGCCTTTAAGGACTTCCCCGTGCCTCAGGTGATCGGCATTCTTGTGTGGCATCACGCTTGCCCATAAATAAAACACCCACACTAATCACAACTAATTAATGTTTCTGCTGGCAGGGATCTCACTGTGAGCAGTAAACAGTAAAACCACCTGGATTAGCGATGAAGGAAACTGTGATTCTGTGGTTACACAACTAAATATTGACCTACCTGCTCTAATCATGCCATTGTGCAAATGTATTGTTGGTTTGAGGGAATTCATTGACGTGGGTGTTTTATTTTCAGACACATGATAAGCATCTGTCTTGGACGGTCGGTTATGTCTGTAGAATGAAGCGGGGAGACCGATGAATAAAATGGGCCATGGCCTGTTTTGGTCTGACTTGAATTGGTGTGTGTGTGTGAGTGTGATTTTCTGTCTGCCCGTGTCTTTTGGAACAATGGAATTATTGAGGTGCTGGGAGTCACCGGCGCCCCGCTGCCTGGCCTGCTGGATTGGGGTTAACAGAGGCACTTTTGGCGGGATCAGGTGACCGCTCTGTCCCTTTCAAGTGTGGCTCCTCCTCTGCAGCAGCAGAGCGAGTAACATGAATCTGGAGGCAATAAAAAAGGTGGCTGAATCGCTCCACAACTCCACAGGCTTGTGGATGATGAGCATTAACTATGAGACATAATGTTTAGACAGATCCATTATCTCATTTTAAGTGCGTGATCTCGTCTGACCTGGGAATTCTCTTTTTAACCCTAGTCATAAATTCAAAATGTAAAGAGTCACTTTGACTTTTTCATCATCCAAGGAGAAGCCAAATTAAGAAGTATTACTTTGTATGCCTTGATACCAGCTTGATCCCTATGATAACATACGATGCGATCACGGTACAGCGATGCAAGATGATCACACAGTTTTTCATCAGGATATCTGATTTACTGAAGAAAACAAAATGCACATAAAAAGGTACACAGCAGGATTCTTGTACTTATTCACAGCAATTGACCCTTTGTTGGCTCGCTGATTGGTCCACTGACCCACCAATCTATGAGGCCCCACTCCTAGCAACCGTTGCTGGGCTACTTCCTGTTTTGACAAACGTTTGACAGGTAGCAACTACAAGATGAACGCTAACGTTAGCCGACATCACTAGCATCAGACATCGTTTTTTTTACGTATTTTGAGTTCACCTCATACACCCTGCTGTATCCCTATCCTGATTCTTTTCCCGAGGACAAGTTTAGAAAAATCACATCAATTAAGTATAAATAAAAGTCCCTCTAACCGAACAGCATTTTGAATGATGGCAAATATGAAGGAGCCCGGCAACAAGAGATTGTGTCTAACCTAGTAACAGTAACTAAGGAGGGCGGGGCTTGACAAAGGGTCAATTTGTTGCCACCTCTAATCATGCTGTCAACCTCTCTGTGGCCGGTTTACTTCCGTTAAACGCCAAACAGCGTTGGTCTAATAAAGTTTATAAATGTGTTCTTCATACTACAGGTGTAGCTGCAGCTTTCTGACCTCTGCAAACAGAGTGCTCACTTGTCACATTGTCTAATGACACGCACAACATTACATCGTCCACTTAAAAGATTTTTTTTCTATTTCTGGATCGACCTCAGATTGAGAGATCGCAGTGAGATAAAGATGACAGCGGTCTGATGTAAGAGAACAAACCTCGCTGTGCCACCACCAATGAACTGAAAGCCACAAATATGTTTGAGCACTTCAAGTCTTTGAGCAAAATTTTCAACAGCAAGTCTGGTCAGGTTTGTACAGGCTGGTGTTTTTATTCTCAAATTGGCAGTTTAACCAATTAACCATCCCACCTCCCACCAAGAAACTCCACGATAACTCCTCCTCCTGAACACGGAGCAGCACGAGCAATTGGGCAACTTGATCTGGGGGGGGGGGGGCTGCTTTTATTTGTACGTTCTGCTTCTGAAATCAAAAGTGCCTCCTGACAGGAGTTCACATGGAAACATTTAGATTCAATTAAACAAAGAAGGATGAAAATGTACTGTAAACACTTTTAAATGACATGTCAAACATTAAGATCCTTTTATTCTTATTTACTCCTCAAGGTGTCATCTCATTTTGCACAGAGTGAGAGTTAAGTTGAAAATTGAGTTCTCCTCAAGGGGCATCTAAAAAACAATTGCACAATTTAGAGTTTCCCTTTGTGACGTCTCACCTCCTCTGTCTGTTGTCCAGCAAAGGCCAGCAGCTGGTTTCCAGGGCTGGTTTCCAACACGGAGCACTGACAGAATCCAACGCTGCCGGTCCACACCGAGTCCACCACCTCACTGCGACCTTCACTCAGATCCCACAGACACACCTGCATGTCACGGCCCTGACTGCTCCACAGAGACCAAGATGAAAAAGAACTGTTGTTTTTACATTTTGAGGGTCTTTCTTAAAGTCACATCTGGCATGTTGCTTTAGGAGCTAAGGATTGAACCCCCGACCAAACAGTTGAGAGAAGACAGACTCTACCACTGAGCCACAGCCGCCTGACTTTCACCTCTAACAATGCATGACACTAAATGTTTCCTATTAAGTCATGATATTCAAAAAGGCTGATATTAGGCCGTCATCCTCACCTGATGAGGGTATGTGCCGCCTGCAGCGTGCTCACCCAGATGATGGAGTTACCAGAATGACCTTCGACAATCCTCTCAGCCCTCCTGGTGTTCAGGTTCCAGATATGGATGGCACCTTTCCCCGACCTACAAACCCCAACAGGATGCTTTATGAAACATGCAAACAGTCTATCAAACATGACTCTGCTTTAACCCTCACTTGTGGTAAAAAAATATAAAAGTACAAATCTGTCAGCGGGTTTGGAATTAGCCCTCTGACCGTAGAGCTCTGCCTCATCGTGTCAGTGTTTACAAATAAAGTCTATGTGCTGAAATAGCTTGACTAGGTGTCACTTGAGGGCAGCATGAATTCACATCTCCATTACAGACGGTCTACCCGAGGTAGCCACAGTGGCAGGTAGGAGAAAAAGTTCATATCCAACTCGATCAGATTTGATCAAATCAAAACTGCCAAAAAACACTTGGTATGCGTTACTCCAAAAACGTTTCCCCTCTGTTTTTTTAAGTCTTAAATAAAGAATGCACAACATTTGACACATAAATACAGTAGAAATCAATGAGTCATGACTGTCTACAATGAGTGAGAAGCTCGAGTCCCGCTGGCTGTGTTGTTGTCAGAGCCGTGTTTACATGGACGGGACGGCCGGCTCCTCCCCTTGTGTATAAAAGCTGTTTTAGTCAAGACTAGAGAGAAGAAGAACATACTCACTGATTATTTGGATGTTAGTAAGAGTTTTTAGATCACGCTCATTCTGTGTCAGTTTACATGAAATATGAAGCTACAAGCTAACTAAAGAGCGCTAACATGAGCATGCTAACACAACAATACAGGACACAGGTGATTACATCTCGAGCCGAGGACAAATGATCTGTTCCATTTGATAACTCCTTCATCAGAACGGGAGTGGAGAGGGGTTGGAGGTGTGTCTCTGGAGGAGAGTGGAGGCTTCAGTATGGAGGAGGTGTGGACAAACAGCAGTTTGTTTTGGTTTCATGCTAGAGCTCAAGGGCGACATCTACTGGATCAAAAAGTAGCATTCTTCCATTAAGTGAATTCTGATTGGCTGGCTATATATCTACATAGCAGGTGTTTTGTGACGGTCTCACCGCAGCACAAAAACTTCAAAACATACTCAAGAAAAAAAAAAAAGTTTGTTTTTGTTTGTTGAAGAAAAAGAGACAAAACATTAAAGTTGTGATTAATGACTCACGCAGAATAAAGAAGGGGAGTGTCCCCACCATGGCAGCTAAAGTGGAGGGTGTTGAGGGGCCCTCCAGCACCCCTCAGGGTGTAGATAGGGGTCGGAGCAGGACGAGACATCGCCGGGTCATGCAGTCAGTGTATGGATGCAGAGAGTATGTAAACTGGTGTCAAGAATCCCACTGAAACAGACAAAAACTAAAGTTAGCTCAGAGAGGAGTTTTTTTAGTTGACATTTGAAGCTCATGTCAGGGATATTCGTTCTTTGTGCCGTTTTCTGCAGAAATTATATCAAGTTCATTCACATCGGGTTAATCTGACTCTTCTTAGAGGATGACAGCGAGATGAAAGTTAAACATCTTGTTATGTTTTCACACAAACACTGAGCACAGACATAGAAAGTAGCTCCAGTTTCCCTTTGAGCGTCTTTCTCTCCCTCTCTGCAGACAGTTGTGTTAAATGCACTGTCTGTACTTTTTCTATTGTTAGTAGCTAAAAACCCTGTGGCTCTCTCTCTCTCTCCTGCTTCTAGTCGACATGATAACACCTCTCTTGCTCAATACGTCATAAATCACTGCCCCTGACAGCTTAATTACAGTAAACAGAGATTCTGGCTTCTCACTGCTCCTGAGATCAACAGCCGTTGTCCCAGAGGCACAGGTAACAGCTCAGGCTTTCATGTCGTCTGTCAGCCGGGCGGCTGAGGAAACCAAACCGACCGCAGGTATGCTGCTAGGAAATGATGCATCAACATTCACCTACAGCGCTATCACTGGTTCATGTCTTAATAGAGATGACTTCAGAAAACTGGTATCGATGTATCCATCCTAGTTGTGAGCTGCTCATCATGTACGGACTAACAGATCGCTCAAGGCTGGTTATTTCAGTATTCAGATGATCTAAATTTACCAGAAAACACTGAGCAGTAACACTCTTAACCAAATCATTCAAATACAAATGCTTGCACGACTAACTGGAAGCCACACCTTGAGCTGTTCAGTGAATTGTTCTCGTGTCAAAGTGAAAATAGATGTTTACCTGGTTATCTGCAACAACATGTTCATCAACACCAGAGGACAAGAGGAACACTCTACACATTGAGGAATATTCTTATCGCTCTTTACATGAACATGATAAGGAAACTCTCCACTCAATGTGTTCAATTGAAGACAGTCAGGAGGTGAGCTGTTATCCTAGCTTAGCATAATGACTTGAAACAGCTAGTATGGCCCTGTCTCAAAGTCGAACAGCCAGTACCTAAATCTAAATCTTCAGAGACTTTTTTTTCACCACTGCCTTCAAATCATTTGCTCCTGATCTGTACAGAAAACCAAGTCATGCCAGGCAACCAGAAGAGGCTGCATGTCACAAGTCACTGCCCACCACCCTACCCCCGCCAGGAAAAGACCAAGCAAGGAACACCTGAGTTTTTAGTTTAAAAATCAAGACATTATGTGATACTGAGAGAATTCATGAAAAAAAAAAAAAAAAAACAAGCACATCCCTCAGTGGGAGCTGGGTTAAAAAAGACGAACAAGTAAAGAGAAGCAATGAAGATCCACACCCCAAGAAGCTCCCGTTTGAAGGATTTATAGATAAGTGAGCCAACATGCTCTTCCTGCTTCTTGCTGTTTTGATCTTGTCTGCTTTTCTTAACCTACTGAGAGAATCAGCCTCTTCCCTTTGATTTCATGTTAAACTTTGCTGACTGGTTATCTGATGATGGTTATACATTTTCTCAGCCAACTCTAGCAAGGAAGTGAGCGGTTGTTTTTCTCAAAATTATGAACAACTCAGGCACAATGTTGGTAACTATGGAAGCATATTGCATTCACATGAGAAAATACAAATCTGCTTTGTTTCCCTGATATAAGAATCTCACAATTACAATTTACAAATGGTAAATCGATTTAAGCTTGTTTCAATCTTTTCTAGTCTTCTGACTACTCAAAGCTCTTTTACACCGCAGGTCACACCTACACATTCACACACTGATGGTAGAGACTGCTGAGTAAAGAGACCATCAGTATTAACTCATCCATTCATACACATTCACACACTGATGGTAGAGGCTGCTGAGTAAAGAGTCCATCAGTATTAACTCATCCATTCATACACATTCACACACTGATGGTAGAGGCTGCTGAGTAAAGAGTCCATCAGTATTAACTCATCCATTCATACACATTCAAATGCGGGAGCAATTCAGGGTTAAGTGTCTTGCCCAAGGACACATCGGACATGTGGCTGCAGGAGCTGGTGATCGAACCCCCAACTTTCCGGTTGAGAGATGACCGACTGAGCCACAGCCACCCCAACAAGGTGCTTGCATTTCTCTACAGAACAGCGTAGACAAAAGCAAGCGCTTCAATACAAGAATGCCTCAGCTGCGCTTCATGGGGATGCAGTATTTATTGTCTCTTGAGTCACCATGTGGCCACGTAGCCAAAGTGAATGCATTTTAAGATGCATCAGGTTGTAACAGTGAAGCGTGTTTCATGGGAACGTTTTCTGCTCTAAAGGTCTAGATGAAGCCTCTGTAGGGACTTTGAGGAACAGCATGTTGTTAATTCCTCATTTGAGTGCAATATGCTTCTGTAGGTAAGTACATGTTTTAGGTCATTGGAGTTCAGGAGCACGACCCTTGCCATCGTGGACCCCTCCTCCACTTTTACTTATGATAACCACTGCCCCCCCCTGCAATCAGTGGAAGCCGACACTGGAGCCTGAGGCATTCAAGAGCGACTCATTTCAGGAGGTTAGTGGTTAAATTGTCCATGTGAATCTGTGAAGCGGAGAGACAGAGACCCCTGACCGACCAGCCTGCCTAATTAAGACACACACTGCTGCATTCTGGGAGTCTCAGGGGCAGAGCCAAGACGGAGGCTACACGATCAATGTTCACCTATAGACAGATAGCACCCTCATGACACAACCTGGATCCCTAAAAAGTTGGCACACTGTGTAAAATGTAAAAAAAAAACCTCAATGTGATGACTCCCCTTATTTGAAATTGATAACATTGATTGATAAAGCTGAGAAATGTCATTGTTTGTAAAAGTATCGGCCCATTTCAAATTAGATGCCGTTTCTAAAATCTATTGCATCACTTTTCCATTCAAAAGTTCAAATTCAAATTGGGCATGTCACTTTCCAAACAAAGAGAGAACTCAGCTTCAGCATTTGTTCTGTTGTCTTTGTGCTGTTTTCAAATATATATGGTGTTATAATGTATTTTGCAAATCATCACTGTCTGTTTTTATTCAGTTTATACAACATCCCAACATTTTTAGTAATTCGGGGTTGAAGAAAAGAAAGCACTGACACAGCTGAGAAAGGTCAAATGTCACAAATAAATGATTTCTTACTACGGGCTGTGATGGTAAATTCAAAGTTAACTGTGAACCCAACATCAAGAACGAGGTATAATGTTTTAACAATTTTTAAGAAAACGTCGATATGACACTTCAAATAAAAAAGCATCTTAATGCATTTTAATAGGACATCACTATTTTCCCCTATATACTCAGTAATATACTTCCAATAATAACCATGATCAGTTAGATAATCCTGAACTCTCTTTTTACTTAGAAAGTGCTTTTATTTATTAAGTGCACATCATTCCCAACTCTCTCTCTCTCTGATTTCTGACTCTATCCACTGTACTGTCTCTCTAATAAAGGCATAAAAATCCCAAAAATAAACAAATTGGAAACAATATATTGGTCAACAGCTGACAAAAACCACAGCTGATCCAATCTGTTTCTCCAATAGCTGCAACACAAACGATGTTAAAGTGGGGGCATCTTCTAGGCCATGATGGCTGCGTCTCGTCTATTTACTGATATCGTGAGACAATTACCACTACAATGAGAAACATTGTTACATTTCAATATCATGCGATCTCATCGATCCCATCACACCCCCCGGATGTTTACCTTTCGATTGGTTTAAGAAAATGGCTGTTTGCATAAGATATGGACTATGAGGCATCACCCACGCAGCTGAACTAAACCAACAGGAAGCTCTCTGACCAACAACTGTACAAACTTGTTTTAGTGTGGTATGGAAAAAATTGCAAAAAGCATCAACAGGGTTTTTGTGAGGGTCTTTCAGTTAAGCTGTGAATGGGGTGGGTAAGGCTGCATTCCTGAGCCAGAGTCCTGTGCCTGTGTGAGTGTGTGACAGGGTGAGGCTAGCCCTGATAACAGGTGGATTAGGAGTCCCGTATTGTCTCCTCGTAGCAGACCTGCATGGGGCTGTGAGTCACAGACACAGCAGCCTCAAACTGTCTGTTTTCATTGTCTCAAGGTCAAGGGCTGTCAGACTTTCCACTAAGCAACCAGAGTTCACTGTCACTCAGGAACGACAGTTGAGGACGCTCATGGAGATGTCGCTTGAGGTACACCAATGTTCACAGGTACACCAAAACATGTATTTAAAGGCCACTTTCCCCTGCCACTACTTCCTCAGAGTATTCCTGGCGTCAGCGTTTTCCAGGGGTCTGGTTTGCCCCCAACAATAGGTCTGCTGGGGCTGGCTGCAAGTGTGTCAACCACAAACCTAAATACAAACATGCAGGCAGCTCAGGAAGGGAGAGAAAGATACTGTAAACAAACAAGATGGCGGCAGGATGTCACTCGGATCTATTTACACGGACCCTTTTTTATTGTTCCTTGTAACAAGAGAGAGGAGGCAGAGCAAACAATCCCGCTGGTCGCTTGTCCAGTTTGTATGTTGGGTTTCAGGAAACATCTCGAAATGGCGCAAAAGCAAACGTGTCAGGAATCTCAAAGCAAAGCAGCTTGTTCAATCAAGAAATGTTGGAATTCTCGACAATTCCCGAGCAGTTTTAATGAAACAAAGAAGCTTTCATAAAGTGATTGAGGGATGGATCCAATAGGTTGGAGACGTTTCTTATTAGAAGTGTCCACAGGAACCGCAGAGCAGGGTAACCAGGTCGGTCTAATTAAACTTGTGTGTGGTGGACAGGCCTGCCTGATAAATCAGACTGACTGATTAATAAACCTGAGCCATTGGGAAGAGGCAGGAGAGAGGAGGACTGAGGGCTCCTGCTCGCCCCTGTAACAGATAAGACAGCTCGGGGTAATCCGACTCTAAGTCCGTGGATAAAGGCAGTTTGTCTCTTCTTGGGCCGTCTGTCCACACCTACCGGGTAATTAGGCCTAATTATGAGAGAAAGGTCCGCTTCCCCTTCATGTTATTAAATAAGAGCCAGCCTCGTCCGCCAAGCATCTCTCAACACCAGCAAGGGGCTGGCGACCTTCAGATCAAACGCAGCCACTATCTGTGCCCCCACCCTTTCCCTCGACTGAAGCACCCGTTCCCCTTCCTCGGCATGGCCGCTCATATTAGGGCTTGGGGAGGGAGGGGGGCAGGAGAGGGTATGCGTCATGATATGTGGCATCAAAGTTTTTGTTTTTTTTTACCAGAGGCTAGAGGGGAGTCCACTCTGCATTCCATCGCCTGGCTCTTTTAGTCCTGGTATCATGGGATCGGCAGCAACCTACCTGAGCTGCCCCCCCTTGTCAAATTCTGCCATTCATAAATAAGAGCAGGGAGGGAGGCAGGGAGGGAAGGATGGATATACTGATCACAGGGGTTTATTATAGAAGCTTTATAATGCCCCCAGCTTCACTGGAGCCATTATGGTCGGCATGGGATCCCGAGATCCTCTGCTGATATCAGCCTCATCAAATATGAGATCTGAGCTGCGTGATGAAAACTGAAGTAGATTACACACGACTCAAAAAGCTGCATTCTAGATATAGGCCCTCGAATGAAAAGCCGACTTTATAAAATGTCAAACCAGTGGGGGGGGGTGGGGGGTTTTTGTGAGCCGTCTCTGCATGCCTGACAAATCTGAATTTATGAGAGAAAGACACCCAGTCTGTCTGCTGCTGCTGCTGCATCATACCTCAGTTATTATTCATTCTGGTCTTATCTTCACTGCCCTGCTTTTCACAGTCTCGCCAACGAGGCACTTCCTGCTCACTGCTTTGGTTTGGTGGGTGGTGATCCCGGCTCTGTGACCATTAGTCAGCTTTTCTGCCGTTAACTTCCCCACAATGAACACAGATCCCTCAGAGGAGGAAAAACCAACATGCCAAATAGAGAGCGAGCTCCATTCTAAAAGTCCAGTAACACAAACAACATGGGAAGTGGCGAGGAAGACACACGCCCTTTATTGTGTCTTGGTGGGTTTTTATCTGGGCTGGATAAACAGACCAGCGGCGGACAGAGGGGCCGAAGTCAGACACAAGTGCACCAACACCCACTGTCAGTCACAGATCCACTGAGTGGGAAGAGGTGGCATTGTTCGCGTGAATAGCGTGAATGCTAAGCAGGGGCCATAGCAGATAAGAGCTAAATGCCTTGTGGGTGTCATTGAGGCAGGCACTGATGGAGGGTCCTGTTTTTAGGAGGTCCTGACTGTGGTCAACAGGTACCAGGAGCCTTATCTGTTTGCATTATCACCCATTTCCTCCACGAGGTCATTTACCTGGACACTAGAGGATAAAGAGACACAAGAGGGTTGACAGCTCGAGTGCCAATCATACATCTCCACACGTTAAGGGGGGTCACAGGCTCTGGGTCTATACAGGGGGGGGTTTGGCTGTCTTTACGGCCAAGACGTGTTAAAAGTTTTTAAGTGCAATAATCCCATTTCAACGTCAGGCAAGAGGAAAAAAACACAGACAACAACAAGAGGCTACACTTTGTCAAACAGCACACCCCCACAGTGCTACGTCTCCGTCATCCACACTGAGTGATGAGTGACGGCGTAAAGGCTAAGTAATGGATGGTGAAAAGACTGACAGTGTGTCAACTACATGGACATGTGGGCAGGCCGGACTCAGCTGCTGAAATAAAAAGAAACTCTAAGCAGAACAATAACAAAAAAAGCACTGGTTAAACATTTTCAGCTGATTAAGAAACACTTTGAATTTAATATCGATGTCACTTCATAAGCAACAAAAGCAGACAGAACAATCAGCAACGAGATTGATAACATCTATAATATTGCATTCACACTTGTAAAAAAAATCTTGAAGTTTTCAGGGTGAGCTGTGTGTGTGAACGCAAAGAGACAGATGTTTCTCTATGACTATATCCAGACAGCCGCATTTTTCGCGCAGACTTTACCTGGAGTTTCTCCTCCAGACCTCTAGTATTTTATCCGCAGAAAGTCCGTGTGAGCTGATGTCTGAACGCAGCCGCATATACTCCGGATAATTCACCTCAGGCCAATGCAAACAGAATAGATATTTATATAGTGACTGCCTATAGTGCCTACACGCGACCACTACGATCTCCGTGCTCTAATTAAACGTCTGCATTGTGTTTTCTGTTGGTCAGTATGTTGTTCTCCTCTCTTTAGTGGATGTTGTCATTCCATTGGATTACACATAGCATTGATATAAAGACAAATATTCTCATTATAACGTCGTGTAGCGGACTCTGTTGCTTCGGCTGCTACTTCCGCGTTGTTTATTTAATTATTCAAATTGATCTGCATTTGTACTTGGATTTGCTTTAACAGAATTGATTGGTGAATCAGATGTGTCACACCCAACTTATATAAGTCTAAGTACAAAATTAAAAGACGCTGAAGTTTAAAGAGTTATAGGATCTTAAAAAAGAGATCGGGCAACAGAAGCAGGAACTACAACTAGGAGTATGCGGTCTAAGATAATATCTTAATTGTTTTTTTAATGATGTGCAAAATGAAAATATCCAGTATGTCATCCATTTTGCAAAGAACAATCAAAACAGGCCTTGAGAGTCCACACACATCCACTGCTTATGATCAAGCCTTACAGGACAGACTTCTTCTGCACATGCACGAAGAGAACACAGGCAGTGTTTAGCATCATAACAAGCTAAGCTAGCATAGCTTCCTCCATGGCTGAAGTTAAAATGGGTGAACAAACAGCACCAGCCTCGGAACCAACCTGGTTAGATCTAATATCTAGACGTGACTCATCCTCATTCACATGGAGGTTGAAGAGACGGATGTCGCCCCAGAAGACAGGAACCTGCAGACTAGGTCGGAAAGTGGCTGCCATTAAAGACAGCATGATAAGAAGGGTGACAGAAATAACAAATGCTGTCACCATTTACGTTGCAAGACAAGGTGCCAATTTAAGCGGTCGAGAGAGATGGTAGATACAAAGAAACCATTTAAGACACAATTTAGGGCTGCGATTAACTAAGCTCTGAAATTAATGCATTCATTTATTAATCACGATTAAATGGATATTTTGTCCATTTAGCTGCACCATAGATATTCCTCCTCAGTGTCTCTCTGTAGTCTCAGTGATGTTAAAGGGTCACTGCTGCATCTTTAAATGTCTTATTTCACTTTAACAAACTCTCAGACAGCTCAGCTGACGAGTCCAAAGTCATATCCACCTTATGACATCACACATTGACCTTATGACATCACACATTGACCTTTGTTACCGTTCCTTTGAGCTGTTTGACGTCAGTATGGATCTCTAACCACTTCCTGTTCCTGTGGTCAAGTTAATGTCCTAACCATCACTCTACATTTCAAAATAAAAGCACGGTTGAATTCCAACAGCATGTACCGGTATACTCTCAGCTTAAGACAGTACAAATGTTAAAAATAAAAGCCTAACAATTGTTTTTCATGGATTTTCAAACATTGTTAATCTCAATTAGGCCTAACTATTGAAATGTAGCTGTTCATCGCGATTAAAATGTTTAATCGTTTGACGGTCCTAATTTAAATGGCTATTAGGGATGTAAGATTAATTGTATTATCATGATACATCGATTCAAAGGTGTGAAGATTCACATCGGTACTCTGAAAAATGAATCTCAATAATATGGTGAGCGTCAGCAGCTGTAGAGCAAGATTTAGAAATTGAGGACGCACCACCGTCTTTTAAATCAGAGGTGTGGAAGCGTTTTGGATTCACCAAGACAGAAAATGAAAGAGGTGAGAAGATAACAGAGGAGACAAAAACTGTGTGCAGATATTACAAGAAGACAGAGAACTACACAAATAACACAACCAACATGATGCAGCATTTAATCCACGCCACAATGAGAAGCTCCAATCACATCCCCTTGTTGAGAGAAAAAAACATTAAAAGCCTAAACCACACTGACAAGTGAGTCTGCAGCCCTTAAAGGAATCTCTATCAGTCATCATTTCTCTTCAGTCTCATTTTGTAAAATAAATCGTGAGAGAATCGTATCGTGAAGCCAGTATCGTAAATCGTCACATCCTTGATGGCGATACAGGTAGATTACTGGATATAGCCTACTGGTATCATTTTTCTGTTTATTTGTTTGGTGTCTGTCTTATTATATTCAATCATTTTCCACTAGTTTGTAATTAAAACACTCTCATCAGGAGATTAAAAAGGTCAAATAAGGAAAGTTATGATCATACCTTTATTACGATACATTTTAATTGTGTCTTACTGATCACATCCTGCTTGCTGTACTCTGAATATCATCAAAATGAAGATGAAGAAGAAGAAGATAACAGATAATAAAGTTTGATGAGAGTTTTGAATGAGGCTCTACGTTCTGTTACCATGACTACGCGTGTTGTTATCAGTCTATGGTTGTTATGGAATAAATGATGAAAGCATGTCAGTGTGTGTTATAATAATAATATAGTATGAAGTATAATGAGGATGTAAATGCACTCAGTTTGAACTGTCAGTGTCTCCTGTGTCTACAGGGTTAGCAGCACGCTAGCAGGTAGCTACACAACAGCTTCAAACGGCATATTTACCTGGTTACCATGACAACACAGGCTCTACCGCTGGGTTACATGGGGTCATTTTAGTTCAAAGACGTTTAAAAAAAACTTTACTAAATACCATTTCAGCGGTTTCAGCCGGGTACAAAGTGAGAGATAGCCAGCAGCTCTGCAGGGAGAGGATACAAAAACATGCGCCACAAGTGAAGGACCTTTGTTTACTTCCGGATAGCTGCCCTTACAAATGCCTGTCTAAAAGTCTCTCTCTCTTTCTGCTTTCCTCTGTCATACTCAGGCTGCTACGAATCCCGGACGGAGCCCTTGTGAGAAATCTCTACTTCATATACAGTATATATATATATATGATGAAGTTAAGGCCTGTATTTAAAATTTTAAATTCAATCGACTAGGCTTTATCCTTCTGATATCAAGAAAAATGTATAGGTCAGCCATGAGAGGTAAATATTGATAAGAGGAAGATTTTTTTTTTACATTATGCATTTGGAGACCATAAATTCATAATATAAAGAAACAAATGTTATCAAAGTTAAAAATGAAAAAGTAGCTTCACTATTTCCTCATCAACTGAAAGCCTATAGTCTGAGTTTAGACCCACAGTCTTCTCTGTCTCAGTTTAATTTACCTGCGACACCACATTAAGTAGATTAAATACCAATATCCGCCATGAAGGACATGAAAAAGAAAAGTTAAGTGGTTCAAATGTTGTGCATATCCATAAAAATGTTCTTCTATCTGAAACGTGTAAGTCTGCTCATAACAGCAACAATGTAGGTGTCTGATGATCTTTACACATGAACATCATCTGCAGCATCTGTCTATTTAGTTTTGTTTGTCCACTTAGTGCTCAAGTTAAAACATTTACATTACTTCTTTCTGCGTCTATATATATATTTTTTGGATTACTATATAGAAAAGTTTATTGCTTTTTTGGGCTGTTGTATTCTGTAATTGTTCCTTCATGTTACCAGTGTGTAGATAGGTCTATTAGTGTGTGTGAGTAATGATGTGGGCTACGTTATATGTCTTAACCTCCTTCAGGGACGGTGGGGGTCCCAAGTCTCTGGCACCCTTATTTTGTGGTCCCTGACTTCAACTACTTGGTGAAGAAAAGTTATGAGAAAGAGTTATTGTGAGAAATTCTTATTTCTTCTATAATTGTCTGATAAAACCTTCCCTCTGACTAGACCCACCTCCACAGTAGAACTGAGTTATAACTTGACTATAGAACTGGAAAAGCCTTACAATACTTTCCGAACAGGAGAGCCTTTTCTCCTTCATCCTCAGCAGTCTAATGGAGAAAGACAGAGAGAGAAAACACAGGGTCCTAATCCACAGAGCACACAGGCCCCTTTCATGGGAGTGCTGGGGGAGACCTTTATTTGTCCATTCCTATCATAGAGAGAGCGGATTTTCAAGCTCGGCTAGGCCTGAGCTGGAAGATTAGATGAAACCAGAGTGTTTTAAACCTCTTCTGTGGGCCATGGATTAGAGTCAGCCAGTCCCCCCCCCCCCCCACCTGAGTCTGAGACCAAAATGAAACAATAAGGAGTACAGGTGGCTCAGTGGGAGAAAGTGCATGGTGTGTCGAGTAAGAAAAAGAAAGAATCTATCATACCAGACAACAAAGAGCCTCAAAAGATTTAGCATATAGTGCTTATATACCTTTTAAAAATGTGAACATTTCACAGCCTCATCATGGATGCACATTATCTGGTGTGCAGTGCATGAATGTTGATGCTAATATGAGCATGCTACACTTCCTGGACTATCATGTTCATTTTATACTAAATGAGATAATGTTTTAGTTTTATAGTTGATCTAATTCACTACAGTGAGTTAAATGAAATGCATCAGCACTTAATGACATACATGTAAAGGGTGAGTTTCTAATTAGTGCAAATGGAGGTGACAGGAGGCTAACCCCTCAGCAGGAGGCGGGAGAAAGTGTCTGCTGTCCTGCCTGGACAGATACCCTGGCTGACATCATCATCAATTATTCCTGGCATCTCGGCTTACTCAGGGGGCAGGGAGGGAACCAGGGTGCACAAAGACAGGGTGCACTTTGAGAGCTGCATGGAGCCTTGGTCTCCCCATGGGTCCAGGAGGAGAGTATCATCCAGCCAGCCCATGAGACTAGGCTAGGAGACATGGTAAGGAAATCCCTGGAATCCCACTCCCCGCTCCTGTCGCCCGGCAGGTCACTTTACAGCTCATCACCAAATTAGAAAGACTGCGGGTCAGCCTGAGCAGCAGCCAGACCACAGAGAGGTGGAAATAGACGATGCAGTCTGCTGACACTCATTAAGGAGGCTGCTCTCTCATCATGGAGTGGTGGAGAACTACACTGCACGGCCCCGAGGGCAGAAAACCCAGAGAGGAACACAAGCCACTGATTTAAAGTCCCATACAGACTGACCATAGAGTAATGAATCTCAGAGAGGACACAGAGAGCTTCTGCACCAATACACTCATCAGTATGATGACTATTTTTACTAACATACAAAGCTTATAATATTCATAGCTTTTACATGAGGTCACACACTTAAAGAACCTCGGCCGCCCAACTGGCGAGAAATAAAGGCTTCCTGCACGTTACAAAAAAAGTTGTCAGTCTTGCTGGCACCTATGTGTTTAACCAGTTTTAATTTGGTTTATTTTGCATTCTTTTATTGACTAGGACAGCTGAAGAGAGACAGGAAATGTTGACAGGAGACAGTGGAGGATGTCATGCAGCAAAGGGGCCATGTTGGATTTGAAACCACGTTTTGAACCCGTGACAAGGATCATTACCTCTGTACATGGGGTGCGCGACATAACCGCTAGGCTATCTGGCACTCCAGAGAATATTGTTTTAAATGAAAGACAGATGTTATTCGATTAGATGCACTAACCGCTGTCTCTTTAAGGGTCTGCTTCAAATGGGTGCTAAGTGTGCTTTTAGCTGGGACGCAGTTTAGGACTCCTTTTGATCCATAAGCAAGGTTAGGCGGGATGATTATGAGGCAACAGCCTGCTTGCTTTATCCCCAGCATCCCTTCCTCCCAGCCCTGATACACAGAAAAGATCAACAAGAGTGACAATCACAAGCTGCGCTCACTTCACATGATGATATGAGGACATATTATCCCCCTTCTCCACCTTTTCAAACAGTCCCCTGTGGTCCAAATCTGTGCTGTGATTTGGTCAAAATATAACATGGATCAAGCACCAGAGGAGGTTTGTGACCCTGTATAAACCAGCTCTCTCAGAACGCTCCATTTTGGTGTGTGTGTCTCTTTAAATGTAATGAGCCCCCCTGAGTTTTCCCAGTAGACGTCACTCCTCTGTAGAAAGAATAAAAATGGCGGATCAGCGAAAAAGGTTTGTTCTAGGCTGGGAGTGGAGTCCATGGGTGGAGATACCAGGGGAGGGGAGGGGATTTTTTTTTTACCAGAATCCCACTGTGACATCACAAGGAGAGCACATTTGAAACGGAGCATTTTTCTCTGTGTTGTAAGACTTATGCAGACCACAAACAAAGGACTGGATGGATTTATTTCACATTTTGTGGATCAGTAGACACTCAGGTTACCCAAATATATGTTCAAACGCACTGTAAGAGTGGATAAAATTCATCCATTTGGACACCCCGCAAATTCACTGCAGCAGTCTTCCGTGTATTTCTCTGTTAACTTCCCCATTTTCTCCTCATGTTCACCTTTCATGCTTTCAGCCTGTGAAACCAAATGAGTAGCTTTGCATGATTGGCAGCTCAAAAAAACTCCTTACTTATCTGATACTGGTGTTAGTAAAAACCCTCATTTCAGCCTGAAACGCTGCGTTTCATGTGCTGTCTCTTTAAGACCCCCACTCTCCATGTTCCCACTTTCTTCTGATTGGCCAGCTCCCTAGAAGCCTTCCTCGAGGCAGAACGCTGCAGGGTTGCCAGGGGAGGTCTGTCCTGCAGGGCTAGGAGAAAAGAGTCTATGGAGGAGGATTCAACAGCTTATGTAGAGTCTTGAAGTCGTCTTGTGAAATTCATGGTTTCATATCGGGGAACTAGGATTACTCCAACATACGTTTACCTTTTGTTACACTATGTGTGAGTTTTAAAATTGGGGTCAGCATCATAGAAAACGTTTGTAACCTTCTACGTGTCAGTGGATGAGTATGCATTACGTTATCAGCACAGAAGGAGAAGATAGTGTGTATGGGAGTAAGTGTTGAATGTGCAGGTATCATAAGACGTGATGGTGAGGGCCTCCCCAGCTCGTGTTTTCATTGGGCGTCTCTGCACGTGTGAATGGAGAGATTTCAGGGAGGGTGAGGAGTGAGCGGCCTCAAACACAACTTTAATGAATCCGCCTGTTGCAGTAAAGGAGGAGGAACAGATGCACAGGCGCTATCAGGGACACTAAATCATCCTCCCTTGGAACAGTGAGGAAGCGGAGGAACCCGGTGTCCAAAGTTAATATTCTTATCAGTCGTCTTTGAAACTCCTCTATGATGATGACGCTGTTTCTCATGGTCATGTCCACTGGGAGAATCATCGTCAATTAATCAACGTTCAAATGTTCCCTCCATCTGTGTGCTCCAGAGTTAGTATTTTAAAAGTTGATCATAGTCACCAGCCAAGGTTGGTTTTTTATTCTAATACCACAGAAATATTCTTATTCCATGTTGCATATTTTAATTGGAGATGGTCATTTTTATTGCATTCCTTTACAAAAAGTATCGAGAGATAGCAAATAGTCCATCCTCTGTCAGGAAGCAGGGACAACATGAGCTTGCAGTCTCCCAGCTAGTGTTGTTATCAAAACCAAACTAATCGAGACTGAGACATAACCAAGACCAGAGAGCTTAGAGACCGAGACAAGACCAAGACATTTAGGGATCGAGACAGAGACAAGACCATAAATATCAATAAAAATCATCATCTTGCCAGCAGCAGGTCTGTCACTCACTCAGACCGGCACTAACCGGGGGATAAGGATCAAACTACAAATAAATTGAAGTTATTTGGTCTTAAGAAAGAGGTGTTTTCCTTCTAATCAAAGTAATGACGTGGATATAGCCTGTCAATGGTGGTCTTGACCGGTCTTGATTTAAAATCCGAGAGCCGCCCAGTCTGAGACCGA